TGACCCTGGTCACACTCTGAGCACTGACCCTGGTCACACACTGAGCCCTGACCCCGGTCACACGCTGAGCCCTGACCCCGGTCACACGCTGAGCCCTGACCCCAGTCACATGCTGAGCCCTGACCCCTGACCCTGGCAACACACAGACCCTGAGCCCAGTCACAGGCTGACTGCTGAGCTGAGTCTTTCCCCAGGTCCTCCTATTACCTCAAGGATTTCCGTTGTGAAAAGGGGCAGCCCTCCTCTGCAGAGCTCTTGACACAGTGTCCAGGGCCCAGGCCCCTAATGGCAGGGTGCCCCCTGCCTCCCTCTACAGTGTTCGAGGTCCTCTCGTGCCCAAGTCCCTGTTTAATCATGACAAGCACCCACGGGGCTCCTCTCACATTGCACAGGCTAAGGGCTGTGGGTCTGAGACCACAAATGCACTTACATGCAGCCACAGGCTCTGCAAACAGCAAGGAGCTCTGCAGAGCCCAGGCTCCTACAGGAGGGCATGTGGAGAGCTGCAGGCTCTGCAAACACATCTGGTCACACCAACGGTGGCCACTCCTCCTTGTGGCCAGCACAGACTCTTACCCAGCCTCTCTTCCCAGACACCTGCTCCCTAAAGCCTCCAGCCCCGCCTATTCTAACCCAAGGCCTCCCGGAGAGCCCCAGCGGGTTTCCTGCAGCCTGGGCTGGCCATGGAGCTGAACTTCTGCCTGCCCCAGCTGCTTCAGCAGCCACTTCTCACCGTGGGACCCCCCCTTCCTGCTCAGCCTCTGCACAGAAGCCAGCAGCCAGCCAAGGCCGCTCTAGCCGCAGGTGATGTCCGAGGAGGCAATCCCCGCTGCTCCTACCTCTGAGCCTGCCCCTGTCGACTTAGTGTGGAGCCCCTGCCCCAGCCGTCCTACCCTGCAGGCCCCCAGGGGGCTGCTGACCCTCACACGGAGCTCCGCAGGACAGCCTGCTCTCCCCCCGCCAGGGTCCGGCGACAGTTCTGCCCCGAAGGGCAGTACTTGGTTTGACAGCCCCAAACCCAGCCCCGCCACAACTCTCGGGAGGCAGGCCAGACCCCGGGCCCCACTCACCTCGATGAAGGTGCTGAGGGTGGCGTTGGTGGGGTTGTGCGTGATCAGGAAGCGCATGCTCTTGTAGCTCACCTCCACGGGGGCGGGCCGGTTCATCCGCGCCATGCTCCTCCGAAGACGAAGACGGGGCGAGGCCCAGGGAGGGGCTGCACCCAGGGAGGGCCCCCACCAGCCCCCCACGCCCCAAGGCAACCGAGATCCCTGTGCTTGTCCGACAGAAAACGCTTTGGCAACCCGCCCCACCTGCACCGACACTGCGCAAATACCTGGGAGGTGGGGGAGCTGAGCAGCGGGGTTCAGCTCTTTACAAAGAGAAGGAAAGACAAGGCCCCCAGGGGAGAGTGGCGGCCCACACCCCTGCCTCAGGGAGCTGGGTAACGATGAGGGGCAAAAGTAAAAACAAGGACAACCAAAGCCCGGCCAAGAAAACCTCACAAAGCCCACAGTGAGTCTGCCGCCGGGGCTCTGCCCAGCACTGTCTGCATCGGTGGATGGGCGAGCGGCCCCCTGCGCTCAAAGGTGGGCCCCGAACCCTCAAGGACCAGACGAAACCCGAACTTGAACCGAACGCACAGGGCAGCCTTGGGGTGGGGGTGGGGGTGGAAGGCGGCAGCCGTGGCGGCGGGCGGCTCTGACACTCGGGGTCTCTGTCACGTTACCCCATCGGGGTACTGCGAGTCCTGGAGAGGGCCTGGGGGCTCAGGCGGCAGAGCCGGCCCGGGGCCGGACAGCAGGGGCCATCGGCGGGCGAGGGCAATGGTGAGGGCCAGAGGCACGGGGGCCTCCTCAGCAGCAGGCGTGGCAGTGATGTTGGGCCTGGCAGTACTCAGAGCTGCCCCCCGAGGCCCTCTCCATAAATCCCGGGCTGGTCAGCAGCAGGCCACGTCTGCGAGAGGACCGGAAAGAAAATGAGCAGACAAGGGGTCAGTGGGAGCCCCTGCCTCCGGGAAGGGGTGAGAGTCTGCCCACCCCACGCCGCAGAAGATGCTTCCCTAGGGCCCTGCTACAGGACTGCGCTGAGTGAGTGACCCCCGTCAGGCCTCAGTTTCCCCACCTGGGAGCACAGGAAGTGCAGCTCCCCCCAGGGCGGTCTCAGAGCGCCCTGACGGCCAGCAGTGTGGAGGGTTAAGGGGGACACACACCCCAGGAGCGCGCTGCACCCCAGTGAGCAGATTTCACGGCAGTCTGTGAAATCTGCCCCCGCCCCCCGAGCCTGGTCCCCCCTCTGCAGCCTGTGACCAGCAGACACCCACCCCCAGCCAAGGACAGTCACACTGCTCTGCGGAATTCCAGGCCTCTGCGGAATTTCGGAGCCCAGATGGTTCTGGGGCGGCCAGTCCTCCGGGAGAGGGGCTCAGGCACGGCTGCCGAAGTGCCGGGGCGCAGCGGGGAGAGGGGCTGCAGCCCCGCTCATGGCTGTAAGCCACCTTAAACATGTCTCACGGGTGCCCCGTGGGACTCTCCGGCTCCCGCCCGCCTCCACCCCTCTGCTGTCTCCACCACTCACCCACAGGGCTGGCCAGGCACGGGAGTAAACAAGCAGGCCTCTGCCCTTGGGGAGCTCGGAGAAGCAGAGGCAGACCACAGCGGCCAGAGGACCAGCCGGCCACCAGGTGCATGCCAAGGCGTGACAGGGCAGGTGGCCAGGAGTGGGTCACACTGTGATGGCCCCGGGGAGGGACACTGCGGGACCCCACTGAGACAGCCATCCAGCATCTCCACACCTCTCTCTCCCTCTCTGGGCCCCAAAGTTCCTGGGTCAGGGACCCCAGCAGGTGCACCCAGCCCCACCCCCACCCCCACCCCCACAGATGGGCTGGGAGACCTTGGGCAATCAAGGCCTCAGTTTCCCCACCTGCACAATGAGAAGTTATATAAGATGCCCCTGTGGTCCCTCCAGCTGTGACCCAGTGGTCAGCAGACCCCTCCAGCCACTGAACGTGGCCCCAACCCCACCCACGGCACTCTTATCTGCTCACCCGGCCAGGCCCTCCGTCCCCCGACCCACCACCTCTTACCTTTGTCCCCGCCCAGCACCCCCTTCTCCAGCTGTCCACCAGGCAAGCAGAGCCTGCAGAGTCTCAGCCGAGGTGCAGGAAGCCTGTCCTGGTTCAGCCAGCCCTAAACCTGAGCCATCCCAGAGCAAGCCTCAGCTCAGAGGGCAGGTGAGAAGAGACAGCCCCAGGCACCCTGAGCACCACACAAACACCTGTCCCTCCTGGGGCAGCAGGACGCTCCCGAGAGTGTGTGTGCATGCGTGTGTTTACCAGAAAGTAAGAAGAAAAAAGGTCCAAGGAAGCCACAGGACTACAAACCTCTCCCGGCAGGACTGACCGGTCACCTCACTGCCCACAGATGCCAGGCACCTGGGGGAGACCCGATGGGCAACAGCAGAGGGCCTAGCTCTGCTACGCAGTATCCCTGAACAGGTCCTCAGCGCTGAAGGCTCTGGGCAGGAAGGACCACATTACTGTCACCTTGAGCCTGAAGTTGACCCCTATCGGCAGGGGTAATGGGTTAGACTGGCTGGGGGACAGAGAGCAGGATCTAGACTAGAATGGGGTCAGGGGTCTGGGCCAAGGTTGGACCAACCCCAGGGTGGGCTGGGGTCTTGCCACACACCCCACTTGTCTGTGCAGAGTCTGGGCCCCCACACCTAGGTGGGAGCAAGCAGTGATGCTTCACCGCCCAGAGAGGGGCCCTTCCTCCCAACCACACCCCGCCAGTGAGGCTCCAGGGCCCCTAAGCAGGGGTGACCCAAGATGGCCAGCAACCACCCCCCAGGCCCACCACCATGAGGCAAGAGCCCTACTTGTACGCGATGTGTCCCCTCTGGCCTTCCTGCCAAGGGCCCCATAACCCAGCTCCTGGGACCCCAGCCAGCCTCCTCCCACCTGCAGGCACTGAACCCTCTGCTGTGTCCAGAGCAGCCATCCTTTGGAGACCCCGTTAGGGGGCCATGGTCCTCCCTGTCTGCAGATCAGTAAACAGGCAGGGAAAGACAGCAGGACCTTCTCTGGGCCCTGACCAGACAGACTCTGTGGGTTTCCTCAATCTCAAGTCTAGGAGGCAAAGACAACACTCAACACCAGTTTGTAAGGGGGAAATCCAGATTCAGGGAGGCTGTAGCCCGCATTCCTGGTCATAGCCTGTTTGAACCCACAGGGCTTCAGAGAGGGCCAGCCCCTCCTGACCCAGGCCCCTGCAATGATCTGGGGAGCTGCCAAGGATTACAGCTCCCTGAGGTCCCAGGAGAGGTAAAGCAGGGGTGTAGGAGCACCGTGGGCAGGGCTGGGACCCAGCAGCTGGTGTGGGGTCTTGGGTGGGGGCCACCACATCCCGTGCTGCGGGAGCCCCAAGGCGCGTGGGGGCTGGTTCCAGGGGTGCAGCCCCCTCCCCGGGCTGAGGCTGAGGTCCTCCCCACACGCCCGGCCCACACCCGCCCCAGCTCACCCCGACTCGCTCACGCACACACGCACAGGCGTCCCACCGCCGCCTCCATCAATGCGGGGCCAGGCGGGGGGCCGGGGCGGAGACCCAGAGCGCAGGGCACGCCGGCCTCCCTGGGATGCTTGGCGGCCCCGTGGCCCAGGAGCTATTTATAGCGACCGGGCATCACGTGGGCGGGATGGCCGGTGCCCGGCTGGCCACCGGGCTTGTGGCTCCCACACCTGCCACCTAAATATAACTGCAGGCCGGCCAGCGCGCCCAGGCAAACAAAGGGGCTGCGGAGGGCCGGGCAGGGGAGAGGAAGCAGCAGGAGGAAGGGGAAATGCAAGAGGGGAGGGCGACAGACCATGGCGAGGCGGGGCCCTGCCGCCCAGGCGCCTGCCTTCTGCCTTCTGCCTGTCGGAGCAGGAGCCCATCAACCCTGTGCACGCCCTCCCCAGCACCCTCTGGGGCTCCGCAGCGTCCCCTCTTGCAGGAGGGGGCCTACCCAGGGCTGGGTGCTGGGGGGGGGGGGGCCTCAGCACAGGCAAAGGCCTGCAGGAAGAACTCTCCAGGCTGCCAATGAGAAGGGGCTGTCCCTGTGCAGGTGGGTTGCGGAGGCCGACACCCACCGGGTGAGTGCCCAGCACCTCACCTGGCCTGCTAGACCCCTGCCCAGCTCTCCAGCCTCACGCCCAAGGACTCCGGAGCACCTTCTTGTGTGTTCTTGTGTGCCAGACACTGCTGGCCCTCACTGAATCCTCACCACGGCTGGGGGAGGCTGCCGTCATCCGGCGCACCCCTTGCTATGTGCAGACGGGGAGACTGAGTCACTGAGACCAGGAGCCCGCACAGGGTCACCCAGGGAGCTGTCTCCACATCCCGCTCACCCTCACCAAGAGGCCCTCTGGGATGCTCCCAGGTAGAACCGTCCCCAGGGTCTGGGCCTAACGCCACCAGCAGGGTCCTGGCTTTGCCTCCTGGGAGCACCATGTAAAGGACGCAAGTGCCCCCCAGATGATGAGCCTCAAGAGTGGAGCCTGGCATCACAGTCAATGCTGTACCTGCCCGGGCCAGCCCCGAGGCCCTCGGAAGAGAGGTGGAGCAGGGTGGATAGAGCCCCCAGTACACAGGGTCCCAGGAGGCCTCGCCTTCCTGGGAACCCGCTCCAAGCCCAGCTCCCAGCCAGCCAGCCTGGCCCCTGCAATCAGCAGTCAGAGCCGCAGGGCCGGGGGGAGCGGGGGTGTGCTGGCAGGGGCCCAGCCCAGAACACGGCCCCCTCCCAGGCTCTCCCCACACATACACCCAGAGAACATCAGCCCTGCCTGTGACCCTCGCGTCCTCACACCGGCGAGCTGGGTGAGCAGGTAGGAAGGAGGCCCCGCAGGAGCCCCACCCACAGGTCCACCCTCACCAAGCCAGGTGGCCTGCCCATCTCCTCGTGCCTCCGTCCGGCGCCAACATGGGCTTCGGGCCAGGATTCCCACCCCAGTGCTCTTAGCTCCCCACTTCCAGCAGCATCTCCCTGGTGTCCATCTCTGGACACTCAGTGACCACCAACCTCCCACCTTGACCACTTTCAGAGGGTCTGTCCCCTCCGATGCTGCATCCCATGAACAAGACACATTGGCCACATTGTATTGACAAAACACAGCAGGTCAGAGAGGTTGAGTGACTTGCCCAAGTTACACAGCCAGGAAGTAGAAGAACCACAGTTGGGACTGTTTTGCTGAGCCGCAAAGAGCCTGCTCTTGCCAACCCTGGCCCTCTGGAAGGAAGGACCTCTGCGCAAGCTGCTTCTACCACCCCAGTCTCTTTCCTCATCCAAACACGGTAAAAGTTTCCCATCGAGCTCTCTGATACTGCACCCAAGGCATAGAGCACACCGTGCTGCTCGGGCTGTAGACCTGGGCCCCAGCACCACTGTCCCCCTCTTGCCTGGGGCACCCGCTCTCACCAGGCCTGGGGGGCACCTGCTGCAGCTGGCAAGACCCCAAGCCCTTCGGAGAAGTCTATTTTTATCCAAGCAGGAGCCGTTCCTGGAATCCTCCCAGAGCGAGCCCAAGTCTACACACGGCTTGGTGGGGGGGCCAGGAGGGGAGTCTTGAGCCGGCCCAGCCCACCCTGATCCTCCAGGAAGCCCTCCCAGAGCCCTCCCGCCCTCCCGCCCTGTAGCCAGCAGCACTGAAGGTCCGGCCCCCCTCACCGGCCAAGCCCAGCGACCTCCCTTCCCCCCACCCTTGGCCTGTCCCCTCTCCCTCCAGCCACACGCCCTTCAGAGCAGAGTGTCCCAGCCCCAGGGAAGGCATGTCCCAAAGGAGGGACGCAGAGGCTGCTGATTCCACCCTGCCTCCACACAGGGTCTGGCACCAGGACGGCTCCCCACTTGTTTATGGGAGGAACAAATGACCCAGCGTTCTGGGCAGAGGTCCAGATCTGGGAAATGTCCGGAACCCATCACAGGATCTCAGCCCCTGAGGTCCAGAGGGAACTTGAAGGTCACCTCCGCCACCCAATCCCCCAGCTCGCACACCTCCAGTGACAGGGAGCTTACTACTCCTTGGCAGCACCTCTCTGCCTCCAGGCAGCTCCCTGAGTCATCAGGGCCTCCCTCCAGTGCCCGCTGAGTGCCCGCAGCTGGGATGGGGACCAGCAGGAAGAAGGGTTCCGAGCAGATCAAGCCAGCACAGCGGGCAGCACCGAGGGCAGAGCTGGAGGCTCGGGCGATCGGGGTAAGTCTTCCCCTGGAGAAGCTGCACAGCGGGGAGACCAGCGCGCTACTGATGCCTGGAACCTCATCGGGGCTTGACCAGCTGCCCTGACTCCCTGGGCGACCTGGGGCCAGGGCTTGCCCTCTCTGGGGCACGTGGCCTCCCCTGCAGATGGAGACACTGCCAGGGAGGAAAGCCACCTTCCAAGCTGGCTCCAGCTCCAAGCCAGTCACGGGGCACCCAGGCCACGACCTGGAAGCAGAGCTGTGGCCAGCAGGCTTCGGTTTCCACTGGGGCGGACACCTGTTGCACCCGCCGGGACCTCGGGGTGGAGGACCGCGCCGCCAGCAGGCTCTCTGAGGCGCGGCCACTGCCCCTCGGGCCCCGCACGGGCCGCCCCGCCACACCCGTGGCTTTAATGGTGCCCCCCGGGCGGGGGGGGGGGGGGGGGGGGGGGGGGCCCCCCCAACCAAGTGGCCCACCCCCAAGGCCACCCTGGCGCGCCGTCAGCCACCAGCGCTGCCTGGGTG